CACCACACCACACACACCACACACCACACCACACACCACGGGGAACGCGTCAGAACCCTGGCCCGGCCTTAGTTAGGAGCTAGGCTCCTCCACGTGCAGTGGTTTCATTGTGGGTGGGCAAGGCATGTGTGCAAGGCCACACTTACTGCCCTGAGTTTCCTGCAGCCCAGCCCCATTCCTTTCTGCAACTTCAGCAGCCACGGCAAGAAGGAAAGAAGGACTCTGAGGTGACCTGGAGCAGAGACACAGGGGAAACCTACTTAGCACAACCTTAGGAAAACTGAAAAGAAGTTAGAACCAACTATTTTGAAAACTCCTACTTTTCTGTAGTTCACAAACTATTGGCTAGGCGGCACTTGGGGAGGGTAAGATCAGGAGTTTCGTGGTTCACGGCTGGCCTTGAACTAGCAAGCATGCACACAAGACCCCTTCTCAGCAGATGGCTGGGCACCGCGCCTGCTGTCCCAGCCACACGGGAGGCAGCTATCAGGGGAACTGCGTTTCTAGTCAGCCTGGGAAGCAGGAAATGGACCGATGGCGGTGTGTGTGTGTCTGCACAGGAAGAAAGACCCTGCCTCAAGAATGACCAGTGCAGAAAGGGCTGGAGGAAGGGCTCAGCAGGAGAGTGCCAGACCCCAGACACTAAGGAAAAAGTCACTGGTATTCAGGCCCGTGCTTGAGGACATATTTCCACTGGAAGTGGCTGATCAGGGGCGGGTCTTGTCTACAGGACTCCCTGAGCCTGAGTACCTCTGTGTGGTGGAACTTGTCTGCCCCTGTGCTGCAGGCTGCCCAGCGGGAGATCTGCGAGTGTTCCATCTGCCTGACTCCTCTGGCCCACGACGGCGGCTACCAGCAAGCAGCCGCGGGGCCCAGCGGAGGCCAGCGGCCCCGAGAGACCGTCCTCCTGTCCTGCGCACACCTCTTCCACCACACCTGCCTGCTGGCCCTGGAGGAGTTCTCCCTGGGAGACAGCCTGCCTTTCCATGCCTGTCCTCTCTGCCGCTCCTGCTACCAGAAGAAGATTCTTAAGTGGTAAAAATTCAGAAATGGGAAGTTCTGTGATTCTAGTAAGTCTGAGTCTATTATTCCACTGAATAAACAGTGAATAAATGGCGGAAGTGTAATCATGTCTTAATGGCTAACAACTAACCTGTCTAGTCTTCATAGTCTATAAAAAATGTGAAATAAGAGGAACAGCTCCACTTTAAATGCAGCCAATGCCTAACCAACAGCTAGGAAGTGGAAACACTCCTAAATTCCAGATGTTTCTATTCAAATAGTCTTACAGCCTCTTCTGGTTCTAATACTTGTTGTAATAATTATTTTACTTCTATGTAATAGATTATCATTAAAATCAACACCAGAACACACTGACTGCTCCCGCCACAGGTATGAAGAGCCAATTATCTGCACTTAATCACTGTGTCAGCCACTGCAGAGCTGCACCTGGTCACAGGGCCCCTCAGACACCATGTCCATAGTGCTCACGCTCCTGTTATAAAATGGTGCACTATTTTCACAGAACCTATAAACATATTCTCATAATCTTTAAAGCACTTATAATACTCAATACAATACCAGTGGTATGTAAAAGTTCTACTGTATTCTTTAAAGAATGAGAAAGAAAGGGCTGGGAAGGTGGCTCAGTGGTAGAGTGCTTGCCTCACATGCATGAGGCCCTGGGTTCAATATTTCAGCACCACATAAGCAGAAAAAGCTGAAAGTGGCACTGTGGCTCAAGTGGTAGAGTGCTAGCCTTGAGCTGAAGAGCTGAGGGACAGTGCCCAGGCCCAGAGTTCAGGCCCCACAACCAACAACAACAACAAAAAAGAATGAGAGAGAAAAATGTCTGTAGCCGGTCACTATGGATAATTTTTTTTTACTATGTTAGATTCAGATTGGTTGAATACACAGATGTAGAGCCCACCAAAAAGAAGGTCCACCACTTAAGAGTTGCACTGTCCAGGCTTCCCTGGCTGGCTGAGCAGGCTGGGGTTGTATGCCTCACAGGCTCTTCTTGCTCTCTGGCCTTCTTACAATTCCAAATCTCACCGATGTCAGATTGAAATCACATCACAGGTCAGTGGGCTGTTGGTGATCTGAGGGTTATCTCATCCAACAGCTGCACAATACATAGCAGCTCACAGAATAATCTCAAAGACCATCTTCAAGGTCATAAGGTAAATCTGAGAAAATTAAAACAAACAGCTCACTGTTATATGTTAGGCTATAATGGAATAAAATTAAAGGTTACTAGTAAAAGAAGCCACCAAAAACATTCAATCTCATAGAAAGCAATACACTGATAAGTTGGTCACTGAAAAAAAAACAAAACAGGAGAAATCTAGAAGTTCCTACAATCCAATGAAGATGAAAACACACCTACCAGAAGCCTTGGGAACTGCAAAGGCAAAGAGTTCTAAAGGAGAATTTAAAGCTAGGCACCTGTATATCAACAAATAGGTGTTAAGACCATAAACATGCATCCCACCCTCAAGAACAAATCAAACACTAAACGAAAATACACAAAGGAGCAACAAAAAGTTGGTTCTTCAAAAAGATAAGCATTGATAAACCCTTAGACAATCTGACCAAAGAGAAATTACCCAAAGGAAATTAAGGATGAAAAGGGACATCACAACAAGGGATATCACAAGCCATATCCAGAAAATCATAAAGGAATGGTTTGCAAGTCTTTACTCAAACTAGAAAATCTAGTAGGAATCAATGTATTTCCAAAATTGAAACAAGAGGAAACAGGCCATGTCAACAGATCTATAAAAAGCTGTGAGATTAAACTGGACATCCACATGCAAATCCCCGTTTGTCACCACCCACAAATATCAACTAAAGTGGATCAAAAAAAAAAAACAATGCCAAACCTGAAACCTTGAAATTACGGCAAGAGGGAATAGGAGGAACACTGAACTCATAGGCATAGGCATAAACTTTTTCAAAAGGATCCCAGGTGCATAGCAGATAGGAGAGATTTGACAAATGGGATTACATCAAAATAACTGGAAAGAAAGCCAACAGACTGGGAGAAGATCTTTACCAGCAAGACACCTGGCCTAATAGCCAAAATATACAAAGGAGCTCAAGAAACTGCCCTCCCAAAGCTAATAAACCAATCACTAAATGGAAAAGGAAGCCAAGGAGACACTTCTCAGAAGAAGAGGTAAGAGCAGCAAACACATGAGGAAATGCTCATCTTCCCTGGCCATAAAGAAATACAAATCGAAACAACTCCGAGATTCCAACTAATCCCAGCAAGACTGGCCAACATTGTGAATTCACAGGGATGTAGGGAAAAAAGAACCCTACTGCACTGTTGGTGGAATGCACACTAGTGCAGCAGTGTTGGTGGAATGCACACTAGTGCAGCACTGTTGGTGGAATGCACACTAGTGCAGCAGTGTTGGTGGAATGCACACTAGTGCAGCAGTGTTGGTGGAATGCACACTAGTGCAGCAGTGTTGGTG